TGTAGGTCCTGGATCAGAAGGTCGGTGTACATCCTCAACACTCAACTGTACATCCTGGATCAGGTGGTCAGTGTACATCCTCAACACTCAACCGTAGGTCCTGGATCAGGTAGTCAATGTATATCCTCAACACTCAACCGTAGGTCCTGGATCAGGAGGTCAGTGTAGGTCCTCATAACTGAACCATAGGTCCTGGATCAGGTGGTCAGTGTAGATCCTCAACACTCAACTGTACATCCTGGATCAGAAGGTCAGTGTAGATCCTCAACACTCAACTGTACATCCTGGATCAGAAGGTCAGTGTACATCCTCAACACTCAACTGTACATCCTGGATCAGGTGGTCAGTGTACATCCTCAACACTCAACCGTAGGTCCTGGATCAGGTGGTCAGTGTAGATCCTCAACACTCAACTGTACATCCTGGATCAGAAGGTCAGTGTACATCCTCAACACTCAACTGTACATCCTGGATCAGGTGGTCAGTGTAGATCCTCAACACTCAACCGTAGGTCCTGGATCAGGTGGTCAGTGTAGATCCTCAACACTCAACCATAGGTCCTGGATCAGGTGGTCAGTGTAGATCCTCAACTCTCAACCGTAGGTCCTGGATCAGGTGGTCAGTGTACATCCTCAACACTCAACCTTGGGTCCTGGATCAGGTGGTCAGTGTACAACTGTAGGTCCTCATAACTGAACCATGGTGGTCAGTGTAGATCCTCAACACTCAACTGTAGGTCCTGGATCAGGTGGTCAGTGTAGATCCTCAACACTCAACCTTGGGTCCTGGATCAGGTGGTCAGTGTAGATCCTCAACACTCAACCTTGGGTCCTGGATCAGGTGGTCAGTGTACATCCTCAACACTCAACTGTAGGTCCTGGATCAGAAGGTCAGTGTAGATCCTCAACACTCAACTGTAGGTCCTGGATCAGAAGGTCGGTGTACATCCTCAACACTCAACTGTACATCCTGGATCAGGTGGTCAGTGTACATCCTCAACACTCAACCGTAGGTCCTGGATCAGGTAGTCAATGTATATCCTCAACACTCAACCGTAGGTCCTGGATCAGGAGGTCAGTGTAGGTCCTCATAACTGAACCATAGGTCCTGGATCAGGTGGTCAGTGTAGATCCTCAACACTCAACTGTACATCCTGGATCAGAAGGTCAGTGTAGATCCTCAACACTCAACTGTACATCCTGGATCAGAAGGTCAGTGTACATCCTCAACACTCAACTGTACATCCTGGATCAGGTGGTCAGTGTACATCCTCAACACTCAACCGTAGGTCCTGGATCAGGTGGTCAGTGTACATCCTCAACACTCAACTGTACATCCTGGATCAGAAGGTCAGTGTACATCCTCAACACTCAACTGTAGGTCCTGGATCAGGTGGTCAGTGTAGATCCTCAACACTCAACCTTGGGTCCTGGATCAGGTGGTCAATGTACATCCTCAACACTCAACTGTACATCCTGGATCAGAAGGTCAGTGTAGATCCTCAACACTCAACTGTACATCCTGGATCAGAAGGTCAGTGTACATCCTCAACACTCAACTGTACATCCTGGATCAGGTGGTCAGTGTGATCCTCAACACTCAACTGTAGGTCCTGGATCAGGTGGTCAGTGTAGATCCTCAACACTCAACCGTAGGTCCTGGATCAGGTGGTCAGTGTAGATCCTCAACACTCAACCGTAGGTCCTGGATCAGGTGGTCAGTGTACATCCTCAACACTAAACTGTACATCCTGGATCAGGTGGTCAGTGTGATCCTCAACACTCAACTGTAGGTCCTGGATCAGGTGGTCAGTGTAGATCCTCAACACTCAACCGTAGGTCCTGGATCAGGTGGTCAGTGTACATCCTCAACACTCAACCGTAGGTCCTGGATCAGGTGGTCAGTGTGATCCTCAACACTCAACTGTACATCCTGGATCAGAAGGTCAGTGTAGATCCTCAACACTCAACCGTAAGTCCTGGATCAGGTGGTCAATGTAGATCCTCAACACTCAACCGTAGGTCCTGGATCAGGTGGTCAGGGTCCGAGAGTTGGTTGTTTTCCATTAATCCTGTCTTGTTCTTGTTTTCAGTAACTATATTGTCTGGTGCAGGCTTAATTATTTATAGGCAAAGCGATGTGTGTGTGAATTATTGCAAAGACATTACATGCATTTGTACCAGTATTAGACCCCAAACCTGGCCTGAATCTTTAACCAGCTTTCTGGTGCATATAACAGGAGACAATGAATATGTTTCTAGGTGTGAGTGTGCATTTTGGGGAATAATAGAATCTGGACCAGACCGTCCAGTGATTAATATTATGAGCGACGATCCATGCCATCCATGTACGATGACATGCAACCAACCAAGAGACTGAGCCTGACCAAATGGTCCAATTGTCGCCTCTTACAACCAAAAACGGTTGATGGTTACCTACTCTGACCCAGAATCCCTACAGGGTGCCACATACCACATCCATTGACCCACAAACAGCAGGTTCCTACCACCCTGAGTTTAGACGTCTTTTACATGTATGGGCCCCCTAGGGATTCCTGGTAGAACTGTAATCAAGCAACCTATGCTTGTCGTGAGAGGCGACTTAATGGATCGGGTGGGCAGCTGGGTGACTTGGTTGATGGCATGGGAACGTACCCAGACAGCATGGATCATTGCTTACAATATCGATCACACAACAAACAAGCATTCTGACCAATGAAGCTGCCAACTGTACACAAACAATGTTTGCTTGTTTGTTTTTGTTTGACACCACACTCAGCAATAACCCAGCTAATATGACAATGGTCTGTAAATCGAATCTAGAACAGACAATCCAGTGATTGACATCATGAGCATTGATCTACGCAATTGGGACACGATGACATGCATCAACCAAGTCAGCGAGCCTGCTCACATGATCCCGTTAGTGATTATAGCCAAGCATAGTCACCTTAAACGGCAAGCATGGGTTGCTGAAGACCTATTCAAACCCGTATCTCCATGGGTTACACAAACAATGGTTGATCAGGCTGAAATTCAAGGAGTGTTTGTTTGTTTGTTTGTTTGTTTGTTGTTTAACGCTGCACTCAGCAATATTCCAGCTATATGATATATCAGACTGGAAATATGGATTCTTGTAGCAAAGGCACCAGAGATGTCACACCACCTGCTGAAACTGTACTGATCTATTCATCAATAAATTATCAATAAAAATAAAACTGAGACAAAGAGAATCACACGAGTCTGCACTGTGATGTAAGCCGTGGACTGATGTATTCCGAAGATGGCTTCAGGCCATCATAAATCAATTATGAGATTTTCATCCTTTTTAAACATCCTTGCCTCACATCCTCCTGCTGTTGAACAGGTTATGGAAGAAGAACATGCTGTCTTCCATTTTCAATATTTGTTGAAATGGTCCAAATATACCGGCCTACCAAACATTCCTGCTTCACGGGAATCACATCAGTCGTCAGTTAAAGTACGCACATGCTTTCAATGTTAAAAAAAAATGCTTTAAACCTGAGAATGAGTTGGTATGAAAATCTAATAATTATATTACTCAGTATTGTGGCCACATATTGCTTATTTTAACATAAGTGTGTGTGTGTATATGTGTATGTCTGTGTGTCTGTATATCTGTGTGTGTGTGTGTGTGTGTGTGTGTGTGCTTGTACTAGTCCGGAATAACGCTGATTTTATTGTGTAACCAACTGAGATACCAGGCTGCAGTTTAACATGAATACCACACTCAGACACAGTATTCCGACTCCGATCCGACCAGTCCCTGTATCAGAACCTTAATGCAGAGTGCCAAACAGGGCAACAACAAGCACCATCTTTTGATATAACAGACAGGGATTGAACCCCAGACCTTTCACTTTCTGGGTGGACGCTCTACCACTAGACCATGGTGGCAGTGTAAGTCAAATAGATTTTAGCAGGTGTCTTGTCCAAATAGCAGCAGCAACTGTTACCATGGCTACATAAGCTTTGTGTATGGCCTCTCCAGCTGAAGTGTGTGTGTGAAATGGAATGTATAAATATATATATATATCCTGTTGTGTCAGCTTCATCATGATGCTAGAGGTTTTACGAGCCCTTCTGATGGAGCAATTTCTGTGTGAGTGTCATGTCCTTTTAATCTTATGTAGATGTCTGATCAACTGACCTCTGGAAAACTGACCTAGTAATGGTCAAAACAAAAGGTCTCTTGTGCAAATTAGTGTGTCATGATTGGAGGGAGTTAGCATATAGCTTCTGCTTCATCTGTACACTGATTTCGAGATGATGCTTAACTACACACAACGCACACCCCAACTTAACAATACAAGCAAGCTAAAATCTGAACTTTTCAATACGGTGCAGGTTACCAACTTGCCTGGCATAAGAGAAACAGTATTAAAGGGGAGCTTGGCTCTGGAAAATAGGCAGCCCCAGCAAGCTGGATTCAAGTGGTTTAAACATCACTTTAACTCAAATTTATTGTTGAATCCCAATTTCATTGTTAATAACTGCTCTATATACACAAGAGACGCAGCTCCAATTTCACTTCACACACTAAGTACAAAGTCTCGACCCAACTGGACACCTGACCTTGGCGCAGTCTCCTTCAAAAATATCAGAATGTTTTCAACAGCATAAGAGTTTTTGACCAGAATTTGTGGTCTAAAAGGTTGAAAAAATAATAAGTCTTGGTTCTCAGGCACAAAGTCTGTCACACATTTTGTTTTTATTTCCATTTTGAAAAAAAATAAATCATCATAATACTTATAAACAATGCGATCCAATATAGCACACAGTTAATTCCCTTTACATTCGCACGGCTTCACTGCGTGTGATGGTCAACTCATGTTATGGTCAAGGCAGTAATAGGAGCTTGTATGCTTGTTTCTGTAGGAAGGACCTTTCCCTGGTTGATGGTAAACAACTATTTACTTGGTTACATACTAGTTGGAACAAGGAAAAAACAAAAACAAAAAAACAACACCACACGGCCACTCTATATTTTCATGAGAACCAATTTTATTTTCGTAAGCCTAATAATTATGCTTGTTTTTCTTGGCTAACATGTCATAGTTTGTATACAGATCCACTGACACAGCACACGCAAATACAATTTCTGCTAATTTCCTGAAACATAGATCACAGGAATATGTAGCTGTAAACCCCCACCCCCCCCAAAATAAATTGACCCATATATCCTACGAGGCCGAAGTCAGCGTGACATTAAAAAACAGACATTAACCAAGTTCCATATACAAGTATTTAAATTTATATTCACCCTAGCAGCCACACTTTTAAAGCACAATAATACTTAATATTTTTGCAATCCCATTTTTAGTTTCATTTCAACTAACAAACTTGATGACAAACAGGACAAGAGTTGTCCCCCTTGACCGAGAGCCTTGTGCTGCACATCTGGATAACTTGTCATCCACAAAACAATGCATGATGAGAGGATCTTTTTTATTCTTGTAATATATTACTCCAATACAACAATATACAAATATCCAGGAGAAGTCTCTCACAAAATAGGACTAAATCAATATTAGCTAGAAAAATACATCTAGCTCTGCACACATTTGCACACTGTTAAATATGTGGTTGCTGTAGCGGGGACAAACTTCCCTGGTTTGTCTACACTACATCCTTCCATCACCCATGAATACACACAGCCAATAATAGGTGTTGCTTGGAGCCAGAGAATCAATTGATGACCTGGTTCAAGCAAGCGAGAAACCAGCAAAGACCAATGAGGCCCATGAAGATCCGGGGTAGAATACGTCTTCAGTAACCCATGCTTGCCCTAAAAGGCGACTATGCTTGTCGTAAAAGGCGCCTGACGGGATCGAGTGGTCAGGCTCACTGACTTGGTTGATGCATGTCATCGTGTCACAATTGCGTGGATCGATGCTCATTATTTCAATCACTGGATTGTCTGGTCCAGACTTGATTATTTACAGACCGCTGTCATATAGCTGGAATATTGCTGAGTGCGGTGTTAAACAACAAACAAACAAACACATAAAGGACCAATGAGAGCACAGATTACACGGCAATATTTCTTGTGCTACGTTGTTTCAATATCAGGCAAAGGCAGGGTTCGCACTACATTCATGCACAGAGTCAGGCTGATTCGACTTCTGTGAGTTATACACGGCCTCATTTCATAATCTGACTGAATAGAGACACCATGACATGTATTCACAGGTGATGGAAGCAGTCTGAACCAACCTGTGAAGTACAGATGATGATGATGATGATGATGATGATGATGATGATGATGAACATCTACAGCTCACCCGAATTTGTTTTGATCAAGTATACTCAAAACAACATGTGGACCATATTACATGTATGATATACATGCATGTATATACTCACAGACAAAAGAAACATGAATATGATACATGTTGCTTAATATATGAAGAATTACTCATATTCAAGAGATATTAGATTGGTTCAATGCACACAACAAAAATACTGGTATGTTCTGTGAATTGACGCTCATGAACGCATCACATGTGACATCATAGATCCATGACTCGAAATGCACCATTTGTCTCGTAAAGTTTGAAAATCACGTGCAGCATATCGTGATAGGAATAAAGACACTGTGGTAACACTTGAGTGTTAGTTTTGTCATTAAGTGGTACACATTGGAAACATCTCTTCTTAACATACATACTTCTCTATATATTTCTGTGGTTCATGTTTCTTTTGGTGGTGAGTATATATATTTGAGTCAGGGACCAAACTGGCATGTTCAAGATGCCTGCCCTACAGGGGTCAGACTTTCTGGTTTCTATGACAACAATGTGCCATTACATATGAACCTTTGATTTAAGTATGCAAGTTAACAACTGTTTCTGATGCAAAGCTTTAGAAACAGACAGGCTACCGGTACTTTTTTTCTTTTTTCAAAATTCAACTTTAAAGTATTCAGAGCTTAATGAAAACATCACAGATTTTTTCAACATGGACCTTGTATTGACAATCTCAGATCAACTAACGTGACATTTAGGTATTATGAGAGGGATCAAATTGGTTGGAACGCTGCTTTGAACAGTATTTCTGACATATCACAATGGGTCAGCATAGTGATGCAGGTCTAAGACGTCAACCACTTTGGTGAAACCCACAAGCACAGTATGCTGCTGATAAAGAACGATAATCCAAGTCATGAGATCTGAACCCATGATCACCGGATTCTGGCACTGCTAAGGGACACAACTCTGCAAACTGCAGTATCCAACACCTGCTGACCACCAATCCCCCTTAGAGATCATAGGAGACCTTATACTAGGACTGAATGATTCAATCTGGTTGTGGTAGGACATATAACGTAGCAAGGTCGCGATACACTACACAATGTGATACATCTTCCATGTCCATCTCAAGGGAATGAATAGAAACCCACCCTCAACATACAGTATACTTGACCTAATGAAACAAAGAGACCCTTGTACATTCCAGCAGAACATAGTCTTCTACAATTGATCTTAGACAATCTTACATGTCACCCATATATGTCAAGTTTGTGTATTGCTTTGTATTGATACAAGGACACAGAATATCGTGATGCTCAAGAACAGCAAATCCTTGCAACCTGCCTTGTGCACATATGCATATTAGTGAGTGAGTGAGTGAGTGAGTTTGGTTTTACGCCGCTTTTAGCAATATTCCAGCGATATCACGGCGGGGGACACCAGAAATGGGCTTCACACATTGTACCCATGTCGGGAATCGAACCCGGGTCTTCGGCGTGACGAGCGAACGCTTTAACCACTAGGCTACCCGACCGCCCCCATATGCATATTAAAACTTCAAAACAAAATTACATCCACAATGGCAACCCTAAAGTGTCAGACACATTCTTGCAAGATCTACAACACCTCATAAGTGCAAACTTATCAACACATTCACCATAAAACAAGTTTAAATGTTATGAGTGTACAAGAGTGGTGACAACAGTTCTCCAAGCTGTAGCAGGAATCCCCATGCTGCAATGATTGTCTCAGGGCAATATATCTGGTAGAGTGAAATATTGATTGACGTCACAAACTTCAGTGAAATCAGTTATGATAAATGAAGACAGCTATGATTGACTGAATGAATGAATGAGTGAGTGAGTGAGTGAGTGAGCTTATCGCTGCTTTTAACAATAGTTCAGCCACCTCATAACAGTAATGATTGGCTAACTGAGCAATTTAGTTTGCATTTATTTTTCCATAAACCGAAAATCATTAGGCCACGCCCACTAACGGACTACTATTGTTTTCTGAATGGCTCATAATAGAATGGGCAATGTCACCTATTTCGTACAGTTTTGTTGTTGTTAATGAATGAACAAGCAGTCTGTGAATAGAATGGACATATAATAAGCTAAATGATTAAGTATGCACATCAGTGGGACAAAAGATTATTATTTTTTACAAGCTCTACACAACTCACATGACGAGATGCAGACCATACATGAACATGTCAAACAGTTGATTCAGTAAAAAATCAATATACAGTCTCATAACTTAATCGTAGTCAAATTTACAATCAAATGTATTATCACCATGCATACAAGGTGTGAGATCACTAAACAGTATCATATTTCAGTGTGTCGACTTATTATATGACAGTCGAAAGTACCACAGGAATCGTGAAACCCATGAACACTGACATTCCTGACCTCTGATCCCAATCAGGTCGAAATTCGGAGTTTGTATAATAAGTTGAAGCAGGATCTAGAGGGGTACATGTGGTTTTATGTGTTCCGTGTTCGGTTTTATACCACAAGCCGGAAGCTGGATGCATAAAACCCCATGTACCCCTCGTGATCCTGCTACAACAAATAATCTTACCAACATGTTTTAATATGACCTTGTAAAAGTGACAAATACAATTTGATAGATCAGTCTGATTGACCTTGGGTTAACTTGTGCTATGTCACGTGACTTTCATTGACTCGGAAAAGGCGTGCAGCTTTTGCTTCAAAGCGGGATATAAGTGATTTATTCTGCCTCTCAGATATCCACGTGCAGCCTGTTTTTGCTCTTGGCGGGGTATAATGGATTCATTCTCCCTCTCAGAAATGTATTTCCCTCCAAGGCGGGATACATAGTATTTTATCAAGATCATGTGAACCAATCAGATCTCATCATTGTGGCATGGAGGTATGATAATGATTATTATCTCAACATGAGGGGAACTTAACCACTACAGGTAATAAACACTCCTCACTTATATAACATCATAAGTGACAAATTTGGTTTAAATCAACTTTTTTTCTTTTGGGTATTATAAGAAAATAAGTCCTAGGCCAGTTCCTTTATCATCATGTGACATCCAAGTATTTTGACAACGATTACACAAAAAGACTGTTGGATTCAGAGTAGTCTCCCTTATGATACAGGAGTAGATCCAAAGGGTTGATATTTTGCCTCCAGTGTGTTTAGGCTTATTAATGTCATCAGAGTCCACACTGGTATGTTATTTTAAACGGGGGGGGGGGGGGGGGGGGGGGAGTGTCCAACCCCATTGACCTTCCCCCCCACCACACCCAAACCCCCCCTTGATCCCCAGCTGAAACTGTTGGAAGAAATAATTCAAATTGTATGGCCCACAAAAATCTACTCTCAGGAATCAGATGTCACTTAGCTAAATCATTTTCAGAACTTCCTTAATAAACAAAGTTTGATGAATAATTTTCATCAAAATAGTAAAATGTTCACACCCCACTGTATGACTTCCTTAGTCAGACTTGTCGCCATCATCATCAGAGGTCAGTGTCCAGGATGAGGTTTTCCCATGGTCCTGGAAACAATGAACAGGGCAGTTATTTCTTCATCATAGGAATGCCAATAACTGACAATAGTTTTAGAGTGGGGGACAAGAAGACAGAGACCAGTCACAGAAAAGATCTAACTTCGATCAGAACTTTGGGGAGGGCACAGGTGGCTTCACAGTCTAAGGTGCCTCCATTGTCTGTGTCTCACTTGGCCACACTAGGATCTGGTGACTGGTAACATCACCAGTGGTCCAGCTCGGCCCGATCATGATCTTTGCTCATTGGTATCACCAAGGTCTGCACCAATCATGATCCTTGCTCATACTTATCACCAAGGTCTGCACCAATCATGATCCTTGCTCATACGTATCACTAGGGTCTGCACCAATCATGATCCTTGCTCATATGTATCACCAAGGTCTGCACCAATCATGATCAGTGCTCATACGTATCACTTGGGTCAGCACCAATCATGATCCTTGAACATACGTATCACCAAGGTCTGCACCAATCATGATCCTTGCTCATATGTATCACCAAGGTCTGCACCAATCAAGATCAGTGCTCATACGTATCACTAGGGTCTGCACCAATCATAATCCTTGCTCATATGTATCACCAAGGTCTTCCCCAATCATGATCCTTTCTCATACGTATCACCAAGGTCTGCACAATCATGATCCTTGCTCATATGTATCACCAAGGTCTGCACCAATCATGATCAGTGCTCATACGTATCACTAGGGTCTGCACCAATCATAATCCTTGCTCATATGTATCACCAAGGTCTTCCCCAATCATGATCCTTTCTCATACGTATCACCAAGGTCTGCACAATCATGATCCTTGCTCATATGTATCACCAAGGTCTGCACCAATCATGATCAGTGCTCATACGTATCACTTGGGTCAGCACCAATCATGATCCTTGAACATACATATCACCAAGGTCAGCACCAATCATGATCCCTGCTCATAGTTTCTGATTTACTGGAATTAGTAGATACACTAAAAATAAACAATTGACAGTTATTGTCATGCAAATGAAATCATATTCATCATCTCCAAGCCAATCACACAACTAAACTAGTCTTCACATACATTGGTACTTACCAGAATTTGAACTTTGGCAGCTTTGAGATCATCCCTGACAACGTCACATGCTTGCAATAACGGTGACAGTACTTTGCGTCTCGCCTTCTTCTCCGTCAGACTTCGGTCAGCGTCTGCAAGGTTACAGGAGATGATTACTGGGGTGGATAACTGGCACTGATTACTGGGGTGGATTACTGGCACTGATTACTGAGGGGGATTACTGGCACTGATTACTGAGCGGGATAACTGGCACTGATTACTGAGGGGGATTACTTGCACTGATTACTGAGGGGGACTACTTGCACTGATTACTGAGGGGGATAACTGGCACTGATTACTGAGGGGGATTACTGGCACTGATTGCTGGGGTGGATTACTGGCACTGATTACTGAGGTGGATTACTGGCACTGATTACTGGGGTGGATTACTGGCACTGATTACTGAGGGGGATTACTGGCACTGATTACTGAGGGGGATTACTGGCACTGATTACTGGGGTGGATTACTGGCACTGATTACTGGGGTGGATTACTGGCACTGATTACTGAGGCTGATTACTGGCACTGATTACTCAGGGGGATAACTGGCACTGATTACTCAGGTGGATTACTGGCACTGATTACTGTGGGGGATTACTGGCACTGATTACGGGGGGGATTACTGGCACTGATTACTGAGGGGGATTACTGGCACTGATTACTGGGGGGATTACTGGCACTGATTACTGAGGGGGATTACTGGCACTGATTACTGAGGGGGATTACTGACGTTGCATATTGAGGTGGATAACTAGTGTGAGTGAGTGCGTATGGTTTTATGCCGCTTTAAGCAATATTCCAGCAATATCACGGAGGGAGACACCAGAAATGAGCTTCACAAATTGTACCCGTGTGGGGAATTGAACCCTGGCATTCGGCGAGACGAGCGAATGCATTAACCAGTAGGCTACCCCACCAATACGATGACTGGTGAGAGTTACTTGGGTAGCTATGGGGATAAATTTAAGAATTTAAGAAAATCCACTCGTCTCTTAATCTTGTCCAACTACATGTTTATCTCATCGAGGGACATGACTCAACTGATATATTCATGAATGGCGCAGACATGATTCCTGTTTTAGGTCAAGAGATGAGACAATCATATCATTTGACAAGAAATCCCAAATCTACTATCTATTACATATTTGTTATAAAGATCTTAGTCTGAAAACTACAGCAACACATAAATGGAAGTGAGACACACTAAAAGTTTGTTCAGGCAAAAACATTTATACAAATCATCATATGAACCTTTCACGATTATTTCTTCTGGAGGATCGATAGAAAAGTTGCGAACTTTGGCCCTAAAGTCAACAACACTGTCCATGATGTGCTGGAACCTCCTAGTTGTCAGGTCCTGCGCTGGAGGCTGAAACACACCCCGTAACCATGGTAACTGTCACCTGTCCAGACGTAAAACATTCCGTAAACCATACCGTGAATTCATAAAAATACAGTAGAACATGGATATATCAAACTACAAGGGACCAGAGGAAACAGTTTGTTATATCCGTTGTTCGTTATACAAGTTTTCGCTCGCAAACTTCCCTCGTCTTTGATAAAACAAAACACAATACACGTAATTGCAGCATTGACTTGTATTAGCAGTGATCACTTCATAGCATTCAATTGATAACATTTTATAACATTTATTTAATAACATTATATCAGAGACCATATAATAGAGGGATGGCCCTCACCAACAGTTTATCACTAACCATCAGCGCTACGGTCTGGCATGTAACTGATACACCCCGACACCCTGCTGTTAACCTCCCTGTACCGCTGCAGATGCGCAATAGATGCGCAGACATTCACGACTGACCATTCTGGTTACCACGTAAACAATATTACATAATATCCGGGGTAAGAGTTAATTCCCTTATCCGAGATTTCTCCGACTACGACCAGTGACAATCCAATAAAAGGACGTCTCTTAGCGGATTACAAAGATTTTTGTATGATATCTCTCATTAGCACATGTCAGTTGGCTGCAAATTATTTGCTGAACATGTGTGTCTTCCGGGACATTTATTTCAATTTACATATCTCATTTTATGCTGCAATTGTTAACTATTATAAATAAACAAATATACTAAATCTACTACGAACGCCACAGAAAACTACGATCCGGCAAATTGCACAGGAACTCAGGAAGTGTAAATAAAACTCATTCAGAAACAGGGAAGACACTTGTAACATATCACCATATTCCCGATGTTCACAAAATATATCTCCAGATTAACTTCATTTCTTATAATAAGTCCAGACTAGATTTACTTGCAAAAATGCATGATCACCGACTGGTGTAAAGGCTTTACTATTAGCCAGAAAAAAAATGACGCCATATTAATGTTTTTATTTCATGTAAATTAGCTACTATTTTATATTGCTAATAGTTCCAATGAATTAAAAATACACATTAAACTACGAGCGTTGTTAAATGAATTTTCGATGTGTCTGACAATGGGCTTCGAAAGAATCAAATGTTATTGGTTAATGCCAGTTTCGGGCTAGCAGTGATAATAGGGTTTGCCGGAGCGAGATAAGTTTGACACCTTCGACCTTGTTGTCTGGAACTTCTCTCCCGATATAATCCTTCTTTTTTCTTGGCATTTACAAAGCAAGTGATAATTTTATAAAACAACTATTTCATGTAACGGATTTTTATTTTTGTATGATGTTTTCATTGTTGTGTAAATACACAAAGTAAGTAGTACCTTCATCATATTTATATTATTATGATTGGGTTTAGGCCAAGATCATTTTGCTCATAATCAATATTTACACGGCATAAAATAAATAATTGATTAAATGTAGTCATGATTAATACAGACAAAATCTTCAGAAGATAACAAATATGTAGTATTGTAGTATGTAGTATATGCGCGATATGTGATAGAAGCCTAACTGAAACAAAGTTAAACTTATGAAAAAATGGCGAAGGCAATGGTAAAAAAAAATATGCGTCTTACAAAAACAATTCTAATATCATACAATATAAGTCACTTTGTATAATGTTTCAAAAGATATATGCGGATGATAATCACAGACAAAATGCATGTTATTTCGTCTGCTATATGGTAAGTTAATTTAAAATATGTGACGTTAAATATGGCCTTGCGCCAAAAATCATACAAAAAAAACCTACCAATCGTACCTAAATAACTTTGGTACCAAGCCAAAGGGGAAATCGTGATGAATGTAAAACTATTTAATTCAGGACCGATGATAGGAACACATTCGTCTGAAAGCATGCGAAAATTTAGAGTTGTGGTGTAATTATTTTGGGAAAAGTCAGATTTAGTCCCATTTCTGGAGTCAAAATCAGAAATATCGCATCCGCCCTAAATTTGTAAATGGCACCAAGCCAATTTTTAACATATTTCCTTTTTATACACCTTGGTAACCAAGGACTTTCATTGCGAATTAGAGGCGGTTATTGAAAATCAAAATCTGCACTTTTGCCGATTTTACATGTGCGCCATTTTGTTCTCTCGGACAAAGACAAAGCGTGATCACAGTCATCAAATACAGTGACAACGACATGCTTTAGGGCACCAACAAATCTCAGTTGTAATGTTAACAATGTTAAGAAATACATGAGTGTAATTTTGTATTGTAAAATATATCTTTTGCATGGGAAAAAAAGGCGACAACGATGACTGCAGTGAACGCGTTTCTGCTCGCTTCTGGACAGGCTGCGCAGTACAAGCCGTAGCACTGATGGTTTCGCGCATAGGCTAGAGGGCCGTCCCTCTATTATATGGTCTATTATTATTTTCATAACATTTTTCGAACATTGTTATCAAATACATGTACAAAATGTAAATGATTTTTGGCAGCTCGTAACCTTTTCCGGGCAGGGCCAAAGTCAGTTGACTCAAAGGATCCAAGAATGGATTCTCTCTTCTTCATAATGGTACTCAATGTTGATTGACTTACCTACCGGGTACTCCACAAGGACCTATTCTAACCTGGAATACCGACAAGGACCTACTCTAACCTGGAATCCCACCAAGGACCTATACTAACCTGAAATCTCCACAAGGATCTATTCCAACCCCATTTCCCCACAAGGACTTATTCTAACCCAAAATCCTGACAATGACCCATTCTTACCTGGAATCTCCACAAGGACCTATTCTAACCCAGAATCCCGACAAGGACCTATTCTAACCTGGAATCCTGACAAGGACCTATTCTAACCTGGAATCCTGACAAGGACCTATTCTAACCTGGAATCCCGACAAGGCCCTATTCTAACCTGGAATCCCTACAAGGACCTATTCTAACCTGGAATCCCTACAAGGACCTATTCTAACCTGGAATCCCTACAAGGACCTATTCTAACCCAGAATCCCCAAAAGGACCTTTTCTAACCTGGAATCCCTACAAGGACCTATTCTAACCTGGAATCCCTAAAAGAACCTTTTCTAACCTGGAATCCCCAAAAGGACCTTTTCTAACCTGGAATCCCTACAAGGACCTATTCTAACTTGGAATCCCTACAAGGACCTATTCTAACCTGGAATCCCTACAAGGACCTATTCTAACCTGGAATCCCTGCAAGGACCTATTCTAACCTGGAATCCCCACAAGGACCTTTTCTAACCTGGAATCCCTACAAGGACCTATTATAACCTGGAATCCCTACAAGGACCTATTCTTACCTGCAATCCCTACAAGGACCTATTCTAACCTGGAATCCCCACAAGGACCTATTCTTACCTGCAATCCCCACAAGGACCTATTCTTACCTGCAATCCCCACAAGAACCTATTCTTACCTGCAATCCCCACAAGGACCTATTCTAACCTGGAATCCCTACAAGGACCTATTCTAACTTGGAATCCCTACAAGGACCTATTCTAACCTGGAATCCCTACAAGGACCTATTCTAACCTGCAATCCCTACAAGGACCTATTCTAACCTGGAATCCCTACAAGGACCTATTCTTACCTGGAATCCCTACAATGACCTATTCTAACCTGGAATCCCTACAAGGACCTACTCTTACCTGCAATCCCTACAAGGACCTATTCTAACCTGGAATCCCTACAAGGACCTATTATAACCTGGAATCCCTACAAGGACCTATTCTTACCTGCAATCCCCACAAGGACCTATTCTAACCTGGAATCCCTACAAGGACCTACTCTAACCTGCAATCCCTACAAGGACCTTTTCTTACCTGCAATCCCTACAAGGACCTATTCCACTTGTAATCCCTACTAGGACCTATTCTTACCTGCAATCCCCACAAGGACCTATTCTTACCTGCAATCCCTACAAGGACCTATTCTTACCTGCAATCCCCACAAGGGATAATTGTCACACAATAGTTAAAGGCGTCTGCTGCTGACATGAGCAAGCCCGTGATGAACTTGCTGACCCACCTCTGCCAGCTGGAGTGACACCCCCAGTTTGGCCATGACATTCTGTAGGTAGGTGCTGCTGTGTGACACCACCGCTGGACTCCTCGCTCCCATCGCTGTCTGGAACACCCCGCACAATACACCAATACTGTAACTCCTACAGTCAATCATGAAAGTAATACAAAGAAATCAAGCGTCTCTAGGGAAAATAAAACTTGATTTCTAGCCCTGACTCAGTTTTATGTTATGGGTCCAGGAAGACTTTTGAAAACAAAAATCACAAAGTGTAGAAATAAGATTCAATATTCCAAATAATTTTGGCATGAGATAGTCTCCAGGAAAATGCCAGGATAAATATTGGAATGTAATAGAATGGCAGACCTAATTTACAATTGTGTTTTCAGTCCACTTCCTGTCACCTACCTCCACTTTTGTGCCCAGGGCAATATTGAGATGTTTGACCAGGTCCATGACACTCTCCATCACCTGGGCTGTGTTGAAGTCATCTGCCATCGCTGCCTCAATGTTACTTCGTGCCTGAGACAAACTGCCACAGAGAAGGGTTAACATAGGCCCCCACTGGTCATCTTCCCAAGGCAAGGGGGTTAACTGACTGTTAAGTCCAGTGTCCACCCTTGCCGCACTAGGCTGGAATTAGTGAGTAATACTTTGACTGGACAAACAAGTCTTTTGCATAATCAAAATCGCGTAACAAATAGACATCCGATTCTTCAACAACATGGATTTAAACGTGTAGATTTTAGTCGACTGCATGATTTGCAAAGCATGTGTACCGTCAACTTCACGTCGACAGATATTTTCCAAATCTTTTCATGTTTTTAATCAAGGTGCTCAAGTGATTTGCTGCACTTCGAGAGGAAAGACCCTCTTATTATATACTGAACCGCAAAAGAAAAGTCACCCCACGTAACATTGCATGAAAAGTTGTCATTTAAATATCTGGGTAATTTTTGTCAAAGCCCGGAAAAATGAAATTTGATGATAAAAAAACAAAGCAGATGACAATAAAACCGATTGACCAAACGCATCACAGCAACAGCCATGGTAACCCGATGCATGTGAGTTCCATGCAAATTGAAATGCACATGCATTCCCACATTTCTTGCCCTATAAAAATCCACCCAGATCGGATCACATTCATTCGTTATTGAGTTGCTACCACATGCCAAGATTGACAAGAAATCAGTGACACCAAGCTTGGACGATTGCAAGCTGGACAAAGCGCCCGGCAAGTAGCCAATGCATTTCAAGTCCACGTAAGGACCACAGAGAGGCTCCAGCAACGGTACCAGACCACAACACTACAGATGACCGAGCACGTAGTGGAAGACCAAGGGCACCACCCGACATCAGGATCGTCAGATTGTGCGACAGCATCTTCAAGATCGCTTTGTTACTGCTGCGGAAACTGTTCGACAGACCATGGGGACACACCAGCGACACATTAGTGAGGACACCGTGTGTCGACGATTGATGAGCAGACACCTCCACTGTCACAGGCCACACCGAAGACCCATTCTGACACGATGTCATCGCCGGGACCATCTTCAGTGGGCACCACAGCACCAGCATTGGCGCCACCAGCAGTGGAGAAGAGTCCTCTTCTCAGACGAGAGCCGTTATTGTATCTCAACAGCAGATGGCAGAGAGATAGTCTGGCGACACTGTAGGGAACGTTATTCGGATGCTTGTGCTGTTGAGAGAGACTCGTGGGGTGGTCCGAGCATCATGGTGTGGGGTGGAATTGGTCTTGCACAGAGGGTCGGCCCTGCGGTCTTCCAGAACATCGGTCCAGGCAGAGGCAATGGTGTCACCTTAGTGAGGGAGTGACTCCCTACTTGTACTGGGGAAATTTGAAAGTTTGAGGTTGAAGATGAGAAAAATGAGCAAGATGTTCCAACAGTTGTTCCCAACAAAATGGCGGAGACTTTAACACACACTGACCTCTTGTGTAGTTTGGCCTCGTTGATTGGCTGAGTGAGGAGTTGACCTCTGACATAAGCCTGACACTGATGGAGACAGCTCTGGATCTGCTTGGTGAGCTGCATCGCTTTCTGCATCTTCTCATCCGTGTACTCGATGTCTGGCGGAACAAACACACCATCACTAAATGGACACTCGCAATACATCAACTCAATAAGAGTGGTATTAATGTTTGTACTTGATGTCTTCTTAGGAGTATAAACTATATATATGGCCTCCCCATTAGAAGAAACATATTTGCCCAAGTTTGGATTCCTCAGTTTGGGAAAGAGAAGTTTACAACATTATTGAGAATTTAAGAGCATGGTCAAACAAGGTCAAAACTTCAAATATTGAAAAAAAAAATGTAAAAAATGTGTAAAGTCTCGCTACCACAAAAAATATCGTTAAATTCTGAAGAAAGACTGCTGTATAATGGCCATAACCAAAATGGTTGCTATGATGGATTCAAACATGTTCAACAAAATGGGGTATCAGTTTTGTGGGAACAACCATGAAGAGTTGATGTGCACGACTCACGATGCATGACGATGGACCGGCCACGGCATATGCTCACATGACTTTCAATCAGGTGAGCCAAAAATGTGGAAAAGAATCAAAATAATAAATATCTTTTTGTCCTTCCCACGCCCCATCAAAGTGTGTTGATTACTTTCAGTAAAAAAAAAATTCCAGTGTCTTGATCTGGAACATATCATCAACCTGTTAGAGACAGGCATCAGATGAACCTTTGAAGGAGCACTGTGTATTTCCATGAGAAGGATGTGGACTCACTGTTCCTGTAGGGTGTTAGGAGACAGAGAACGCGGAACTGGTTAGCTGTGTACTTCTCCAGGAGCTCCGATATAGTTATCACATTCTTCAGAGACTTTGACATCTTCTCGCTGTCACCCTTCAAATACAGGTGCCCTGGAAGGAGAGAACACCAGTGAGTCACAAAACAACACAGCCCCTCCCACCTGTGTGTATCCAGTATTTGGCCCCACCCACCTGTGTGTATCCAGTAGTTGGCCCCACCCACCTGTGTGTATCCAGTATATGGTCCCAGCCACCTGTGTGTATCCAGTATATGGTCCCAGCCACCTGTGTGTATCCAGTATATGGTCCCAGCCACCTGTGTGTATCCAGTAGTTGGCCCCACCCACCTGTGTGTATCCAGTAGTTGGCCCACCCACCTGCATGTATCCAGTAGTTGGCCCAACCCACCTGTGTGTATCCAGTAGTTGGCCCCACCCATAGTGTGTATCCAGTATATGGTCCCAGCCACCTGTGTGTATCCAGTAGTTGGCCCCACCCACCTGTGTGTATCCAGTATATGGTCCCAGCCACCTGTGTGTATCCAGTAGTTGGCCCCACCCACCTGCGTGTATCCAGTAGTTGGCCCCACCCACCTGTGTGTATCCAGTATATGGTCCCAGCCACCTGTGTGTATCCAGTAGTTGGCCCCACCCACCTGCGTGTATCCAGTAGTTGGCCCCACCCACCTGTGTGTATCCAGTATATGGTCCCAGCCACCTGTGTGTATCCAGTAGTTGGCCCCACCCACCTGCGTGTATCCAGTAGTTGGCCCACCCACCTGCATGTATCCAGTAGTTGGCCCCACCCATAGTGTGTATCCAGCAGTTGACCCCACCCACCTGTGTGTATCCAGTAGTTGGCCCACCCACCTGCATGTATCCAGTAGTTGGCCCCACCCATAGTGTGTATCCAGCAGTTGACCCCACCCACCTGCATGTATCCAGTAGTTGGCCCCACCCATAGTGTGTATCCAGCAGTTGACCCCACCCAACTGTGTGTATCCAGTAGTTGGCCCCACCCACCTGTGTGTATACAGTAGTTGACCCCACCCACCTGTGTGTATCCTGTAGTTGACCCCACCCAACTGTGTGTATCCTGTAGTTGACCCCACCCAACTGTGTGTATCCTGTAGTTGGCCCCACCCACCTGTGTTAATTCAGTAGTTGTTTCAACCACCTGTGTGTATACAGTAGTTGGCCCCACCCACCTGTGTGTATTCAGTAGTTGTTCCAACCCACCTGTGTGTATCCAGTAGTTGGCCCAACCCACCTGAGTGTATCCTGTAGATGGTCCCACCCACCTGCGTGTATCCATAAGTTGGCCCCACCCACTTGCGTGTATCCAGTAGTTGGCCCCACCCACCTGTGTGTATCCAGTAGTTGGTCCCACCCACCTGTGCGTATCCAGTTGTTGGCCCCACCCACCTGTGTGTATACAATAGTTGGCCCCACCCATCTGCGTTTATCCAGTAGTTGGCCCCACCCACCTGCATGTATCCAGTAGTTGGCCCCACCCACCTGTGTGTATCCAGTATATGGTCCCAGCCACCTGTGTGTATCCAGTAGTTGGCCCCACCCACCTGCGTGTATCCAGTAGTTGGCCCCACCCACCTGTGTGTATCCAGTAGTTGGCCCCACCCACCTGCGTGTATCCAGTAGTTGGCCCCACCCACCTGCGTGTATCCAGTAGTTGGCCCCACCCACCTGCGTGTATCCAGTAGTTGGCCCCAGCCACCTGTGTGTATCCAGTAGTTGGCCCCACCCACCTGCGTGTATCCAGTAGTTGGCCCCACCCACCTGCGTGTATCCAGTAGTTGGCCCCACCCACCTGCGTGTATCCAGTAGTTGGCCAACCCACCTGCATGTATCCAGTAGTTGGCCCCACCCATAGTGTGTATCCAGTAGTTGCCCCAACCACCTGTGTGTATCCAGTAGTTGGCCCACCCACCTGCGTGTATCCAGTAGTTGGCCCCACCCATAGTGTGTATCCAGTAGTTGCCCCAACCACCTGTGTGTATCCAGTAGTTGGCCCCACCCATAGTGTGTATCCAGTAGTTGCCCCAACCATCTGTGTGTATCCTGTAGTTGACCCCACCCACCTGTGTGTATCCTGTAGTTGGCCCAACCCACCTGTGTGTATCCAGTAGTTGGCCCCACCCACCTGCGTGTATCCAGTAGTTGGCCCCAACCACCTGTGTGTATCCAGCAGTTGACCCCACCCACCTGTGTGTATCCAGCAGTTGACCCCACCCACCTGTGTGTATCCAGCAGTTGACCCCACCCAACTGTGTGTATCCAGTAGTTGGTCCCACCCACCTGTGTGTATACAGTAGTTGACCCCACCCAACTGTGTGTATCCAGTAGTTGACCCCACCCAACTGTGTGTATCCTGTAGTTGGCCCCACCCACCTGTGTTAATTCAGTAGTTGTTTCAACCACCTGTGTGTATCCAGCAGTTGGCCCCACCCCTCTGTTTGTATACAGTAGTTGGCCCCACCCACCTGTGTGTATTCAGTAGTTGTTCCAACCCACCTGTGTGTATCCAGTAGTTGGCCCAACCCACCTGAGTGTATCCTGTAGATGGCCCCACCCACCTGCGTGTATCCATAAGTTGGCCCCACCCACTTGCGTGTATCCAGTAGTTGGCCCCACCCACCTGTGTGTATCCAGTAGTTGGTCCCACCCACCTGTGCGTATCCAGTTGTTGGCCCCACCCACCTGTGTGTATCCAGTAGTTGGCCCCACCCATCTGCGTGTATCCAGTAGTTGGCCCCACCCACCTGCGTGTATCCAGTAGTTGGCCCCAGCCACCTGTGTTAATTCAGTAGTTGTTTCAACCACCTGCGTGTATCCAGTAGTTGGCCCCACCCACCTGCGTGTATCCAGTAGTTGGCCCCACCCACCTGTGTGTATCCAGTAGTTGGCCCCACCCACCTGCGTGTATCCAGTAGTTGGCCCCACCCACCTGCGTGTATCCAGTAGTTGGCCCCACCCACCTGCGTGTATCCAGTAGTTGGCCCCACCCACCTGCGTGTATCCAGTAGTTGGCCCACTGGGTACAGCCGTGATAGGCATGGGACTGGGCAAGTTCGTTTTCATGATGAGGAAACATCAGGTCCGTCCCTCCTGAGTGAATGTCCATCTTGTTGCCAAACACCTCACTGCAATACAAACCATGAGGACCTTGGTGTCAAAGAAACATACTTCACAACAAGCATATCATCGTACATTGTCTACTGAAACCTGTACTCCTCAGGACCATGGAAAATGTTGAGTTAATCATTGTCCAAGAATAACAAGTACCCACAATTTACATCTTGCTTAACAAAGATACTTTCAATGTAAATTTTGATTTTTAATTCCTAGCATGTTCTCGTCATTATATTGCTGAAACAGTTCTTAATTCACTCACAATCAGCAGCTGTACTAAAATGTTAAAACAATACAGGAAGATGAAATCCATGTAATCCTCGACCATCCAGGGTATTATATCTCCAGGGTATTAAGATAAATTCCCCACACCCATTCACACCACAGCTTCCTACTCAATCTGGCTCAGATAATATAATGCTACAAATAACCATTCAAACAAATTACCTGTTCTCCAAGATTGGAACCAGTAACATCACCAGTACATAAATACAAATGGGAATGCCTAGCAAAAGGATTCAGACACCACATGACCCCTATCCCATCTCAACACTCAGTAAAACAATAAAATAAGAAATTATGACAAAAATTACTTACAACCGTCTCATGGTTCCATTAAATGTCTCAGGGCTTGCTCATACAAGGCAACAAACTTAAATAAGATCTTTTGCTTAAAGTCATATTGATTGGTCGAGAAATCTTAGGCTATGTGATAAGCAAAATGGAGATGATATGACTTCTGTTCGTTTGTTTGTTTGTTTGTTGTTTAACGCCGCACTCAGCAATATTCCAGCTACATGACGGTGGTCTATAAATAATCAAGTCTGGACCAGACAATCCAGTGACTAACATCATGAGCATCGATCCACACAATTGAGGTACAATGACATGCATCAACCAAGTCAGCGAGTCTGATCACTTGATCCCGTTAGTCGCCTCTTACGACAAGCATAGTCACCTCTCATGGCAAACATGGGTTCCTGAAGACCTGTTCTACCCAGGATCTTCACGGGTTGATATGACTTCTGAAACAAGTGACCATGTCCAGAGTATTTATCCAAACAGAATGGAGATATACTAAACTGGGTAATAGAGGCTGAGTCTTTATTGATACAGCAGCTGTCTAATGCCACATGGGACTACACCAGCAATAAGACAAGTCAAACATGTTCAGAGGTTACCTCGCCATTGTAGAGCATTCGACATGCCAGCCTGGCCGGCCCCTCCCCCATGGCGCCTCCCAGTGGGGTTCCCCGGCCTTAGCCGCCTTCCACAGGGCAAAGTCTGCTGCATTCTTCTTCTCCTGATTGTCTGTCAACATGCAAGTCTTTTACCAACACTGGAAAATACCGGAACGAGAGCTGAGTGACTGAGGGAGTTGGGTTTAATGCTACTTTGAACAGTGTTTCTGTTATATCTCAGCATACCAGCTGCATGTGGGAGGAAAGCCTGAAGTAATGCAGGTCTTGGACATTTACACTTTGGTGAAACCCTCAACACGGGTATGGTGTGACCACCTAGAATCAGAGGGAATCTGGGATTTGGACAAATGATCATAGGATTCTGTAGAATTTGTCATTATTACCACTTATCTGAGTCTGAAATGTTTAATTTTAAACAGATGTGTTGGCTCCAAGGAAAACCATTTGGGCTTCTGTCAGGTTTTTTCATGCAGGAGCCAGACGGCTCCTTAGGAAACATATTAACCAAGAGGGCTGTCGAACCAATCTGATCTTCATCTTGGAATGGTGAGTCAGTCGTAAAACCTTTCTTAATTCACTAGTAAGACATTCTCGCAGACATACACATATCAGAACATCTGGTGGCAGGTATGATACCGGAAGGGTAACAAAGGTGTCACGCATTGGGAAGGAGCTTGTTGAGGGAGCTGTTGCCGAGGTCGGATTCCATTGCAGGAGTCATCATTATCAGAATACGGGTAAATATTTTTAAAGCTTGTACATTTTATCATCATCCTTAAAGAGGCTGTACATAATGTTGATATTTCATATAAGAAATAAAAGACTTGTGGTAAAACACTGCAGCCCCTCATGGTTTATTTTCCCTGCAGTGTTTTATTGTACGATAAACAACGACCACTCGTCGTTCATTTCTTAAATAACCTGAATTGGGAACATTTTTAATTCCAATTTGCTTTAGACTTGAGAAGGTCTAAATAAATCACTGAATCAACCAGCATCATCAACACAGACGTACCTGGATGCAAATGGTCACTACTCCCAGAAGGTGGACACAGTATCCCGTAGCGGCCAAACTTCTCGACATCAAAGTACACACTACCTGAAGAATCAATATAAAACACATATTTCTATGTTTGGCAGCAGCTGAAAGATCACATTCTATTCAACTGCATTCAATTATACCACAGAAAGTGTCTGATTAAGAGTTATGACTTTACAAATTTATACCGTGAATAAAAATGTTTTCATCATGTTCATATCAATGAGGTATTTGAGTCACAGAAACTATTAATAAGTGTGCTGTTAGCTGAACTATTATTTATTTATTCAGTGAGAAAACAAACAAGCATGTGATATCAAGTTGCAGAATATCTACAAGCTTATACAAGCTCCATGTCTCTCTCGGTTACAGATGCCATGTGTCCCTGGCTTCATTTACCAGAATAAGGGCAGGTAACTCTGAAGCTATGTATCAGCTATGACAGTTCGGCGGTAGAGACATTACACGATGACAACATCAAAATCAGGAATCACAAGCAAACCACGATGATCCACTGAAAGATCTAACTGAAATTTTATTGATCTGATATTGTCTAATTACACACAGCAAAAACTGTGAACATGTCCAGGCACAAATAGATGCAACACTGCTGATGCAGCTCAAAGCAATATTTACCTACTCACAATTACAGGATGATAAAATCCTTACAGCTATAAACATTTTTTGATTGGATGATTGCTTGCACTTTGTCACAGAAGCTGGACAAGTTCTAACCAATCCACCTTGCATAATACCAGTCGTTACTACAAATCGATGATGAGGAGCACCCTCTGATCTTACCACTGGGTGTGGTGTAGGCGTAGCCCTTGTCCATGATTTCATTCACAAAGTCTATGATCTCCGGAACATACTCCGTGACCTGTGTTGACCTGCTGGGAGGGAGGATGTTCAGGGCCTCCATGTCCTCGAAGAACTCGATCTTGTGTTGCCAGGTGATCTGTGTGAAGGGGACGCCAGTCTGGAAGAAATGCCAAACTTTGTCAACGTTGTAATGACAACTACAGTCAATTGTGGTGTAACGGTGATACAGTACAGCATTGCGACACAAGGCCCGGGACACAATACATCGATACGAGCCCTGTATCACGATACATACGATACATTACATTACAAGTTATATTGATGAAAAAAACACATGAATAGTAACAGAAACTGTTCAACGACTAGCATACGCAGCTTCTCTAGAATTTCCCTGTTGGCTAGAAATTGAATTTACAGCACCCTCCAGCCCTACAATATCTGATTTCGGATCCCTGTAATTTAAAACATATGATTCTAGAAAACCATGAGAACTAGACTTTGTTCTTTCAACATTTGAATGTCATGGCCAGATAGCATGAGTGAGTGAGTGAGAGCAGTTTTGCCCCACTTGGAGCATTGTTACAGCAATATCACGACAGGGGACAACAGAAATCAGCTTCACATGGTACATGTAGCAGGGCAAGCGGTCTTCCCACAGATGACATCCTTACCTTGTCAACCTCTTTGGTCATGTGGACAAGGCGTCCAATCTCTGATCAAAAGGTGGTTCGAATCCCATCATGGGACTCAGACATTTTATGGCCGACCAAAGTTGGGCTGAACACGTTCAAATTAAATTTGAGCAAAATAAGTGTCAGTACCCAACTATGTGGCCAAGGATGCACAGGGCGTTGAGTTTTCCCACAGATGACATCCTTACCTTGTCAGCCTCTTTGGTCATGTTCACAAGGCGTCTAACCTCTGATTAGAAGGTGGTTCGAATCCTATCACAGGACTCGGCATGTTTATGGCTGCTACATACACATCAGGAATCAGAGCCAGGTTTTCTAACCAATCTAAAGACTAGGCTGCCCTACTGACCACCATGCTAAAAGTAACTGTTATGTCTTCTCAATATACCACAGTATATATAGTTTGAAGATAGTAGGTTTATTGTGCTGAGTGTTGAGTATACAGCCTCCACATGGTCAATGATCTAAGGGGAGCTCACTCTCACCTCTCTTCAGTCATGCATAACAGAGCTAGTAATGTTTAGGCGGTAGAGCACCTAATCATAGTCATATATAATATAGATAACCCTACATCCCCCTTTCTAGGAAAGATAATTGCAAAACTTTAAGCAACTGAAATAAAGTAAACATTAATGCATTCTACATGTTCTAGTTACAGACAGATATATGCCTAACACATTTAAATGCATTTAAACACAAATATGCAATAACGATTGCAAATAAATGATCATACTTTCTTAAGTGAAATTAACATTTGACACTTCGAAGCATATGTATTATGCATAACATTATATTGGAAATAAAGCCTTAACACTTAGTCAATGTTACTAGATCATTCTAGTTAAACAGTACTCTTTTTAAGTGTTTTCTAAAATAGAACATTATAACGATCATTGCTATAACTTCAAAATTACTGATACAACATCGTGTTGAATGCTATTCAAATACAATGAAAAATGCATTTCAAAGATCAAGTCTTTTTGGTGGTTTTGAATGTCTACCACTTTTGGTTTGCACACATGATGGACTGAGAGGATTAACTTTAACTGGAGACTTAGAGTTAGTATTGTCTTGTGACCACAGACTTGCACTTCTAGGACTGCTGTTGACAGTTGGTTGGATCACTTTGCCACTTGTATCCTCTGTTCCAGGAATTAACTTGAGATCACATCTATTGCGCCTCACCTCCCCCTTTGGGGTTGACACAATATATGGCCGCGGGGTGTCGGCTTTACCAACCACTTTCGACTCGGACTGATTTACCCAAACACAATCACCATGTTTGAGCTCAGACATTGGTCACACATTATTATGATGATCATACTGATCTTTCATTACTAGTTTTTTCACAGATTCGGTTTGCTTGAATCTTTTCACATCCACATGTTTGGATTGTAGTTGTGTAGGATGACATGGCAAGCTTGTTCTCAGCTTTCTTCCCATTAGAAGCTCACTTGGAGATAATCCACCAGATACAGGTGTTGACCTGTATTCCAACATTGCAAGATATGGATCATCAGCTTTACGCAACATATTCTTGCATGACTGAACAGCTCGCTCAGCCTCTCCATTGCTTCTTGGATACAACGGGCTGGATGTGATGTGAGTAAAGTTGTACTGTTGAGCAAACTCACAGAAGTCCTGTGAAGAATATTGAGGTCCATTATCTGAGATAACTACCTCTGGTATCCCATGTCTAGAGAATACAGATTTCAAGCTGTTGATGATACTCTTTGATGTTGTAGAAGACAGCTTGATGACTTCTATGTACCTTGAGAAGTAGTCAATGACCAGTATGTACATTGCTTTGTTGAGTTCAAACAGGTCTGTACCTACTCTCTGCCAAGGTCGATCAGGAATTGGTGTTGGTAGGAGAGGTTCAGTTGGATTTCTCCTGTACTTTGAACAGATTTTGCAGTGTTCAACAACAGATCTGATTTCTGCACTCAGTCCTGGCCACCATACAGCTGTCATTGCCCTCTCTCGACACTTACGGATTCCTTGATGTCCCGCATGAATCTTCTCGAGCATTTGAGGTTGAAGAGTCGGAGGTATCACCAGTCTATTGCCTTTTAACAACAGATCATTCACCATAGACAAATCATGTCTCACTTTGTATAGCTGCTTCTCCTCTGTTGACAGGGAATGTTGGGCAGGCCACTTGTTCTGTAGGAATGTGGATATTCTGCCATACACTTTCTCTTGTTCTGAGGCTATTTCTGTTAACTTCGCATCAGAAGCTGGTAGTTGTGACACTACTAGATCAACAAAGAGATCAGTCTCTTGTTCAAAGTGTTTGTCTTCAGCTAGGAGGATTTCATCCACCGATTGATCTTGACAGTGTATCTGCAATTGCCAGATTTTTGCCAGGTGTGTGGAACACAGAATAACTATATCGCATTAACCTCATTCTGAATCGTTGCAATCTTGGAGACAGATCACTGAGACATTTGGATCCAAGTATGGAAACAAGAGGTTTATGGTCAGTCTCTATTTGGAAGTGTTTTCCAAGCACATAATCGTTGAACCGTTCTGTTGCCCAGGTAATCGCCAGAGCTTCTTTTTCGATCTGTGCGTATCTTTGCTCTGTATCACTTAGAGACCTGGATGCCAAGATTACTGGTTTCCATGATCCATCAGATTGTTTCTGTTTCAGCTCAGCTCCAATACCATATGATGATGCATCTGCTGATACAATCGTTTCTCTTGCTGAGTCATACAACGCCAGAGTTGGTGCGTCACCTATTTGACGTTTGACTTCATCAAATGAAGCTTGTTGTACATCACTCCATAGGAATGTACTGTCTTTATGTAGCAACTCTCTCAGGGGTTTGGTACCTTCAGCAAGTTTGTCAGAGAACTTTGACATTTGGTTCACCATACCGAGAAATCTTCTCAGCTCAGTTTTGTCTGTAGGAGGTTTCATGTTGACAAGGGCTTTGACTTTATCCGGGTCAGGTTGAACACCATTCTCACTGATGACATGTCCAACAAACTTCAGTTTAGTCTTGTTGAACTCGCACTTGTCCCTGTTGAGTGTGACACAATTATCTGCTAGACGTTTGAGTACTCTCATGAGACGCTTATCATGCTCCTCTTGAGTCGAGCCATAGATGAGTATGTCGTCCACCAGGCAGATTACACCAGGAAGATCTTTCAGGATTTGAGACATTGTTCGTTGAAATATCTCGGGTGCACTCGAGATTCCAAATGGCATCCTTTTGAACCGATATCGGCCAAATGGAGTTATGAAAGTTGTTAACTTGGATGCTTTGTCTGACAACTTCAGCTGGTAAAAGCCTGAATTAGCACCTAAGCGAGTAAAGTACTTAGCACCTTTAATCTGACCGAGAATATGATCAACTGCAGGCATAGTGTAAATTTCTCTCTTCACACTATTGTTGAGCTGTGTCAGATCAACACAGATTCTCACTCCTGTCTTCCCCTTCGGAACGACGACAATACCTGAACACCAGTCAGTTGGATGTGTAACTGGTTCAATGACTTGCAGATCCTGCATTTTCTCAAGCTCTTTCTTGACCTTTTCAAGGAGTGGTATGGGTACACGTCTTGGTGTGTTTAGAGAACAGGGAACAGCATTATCAGTTAGTTCTATGTCATGTTCACCCGGAATTTCTCCCAGACCTTTGATCAATGATGGAAAGTCTCTCTCCACATCATCGATTGTGATTGAGTCAACAAACTTGATCAATTCAAGGGCTGTTAAGGCTGGTCTCCCCAGTAGACTTCTGTCAAGGTTTCTCACAACATAGATGTCTTGTGATGTTACCTTGCTGCCTTTGGTTAGCTTCGGGGTAAACACCCCTATGACATCGAGTTTTATTTTAGCTGGGCCAAGTAATTTCTTCTTGGTCTTTTCAAGTTTGACATTGCCAAGTTTCTTGAAACAGGTATCAGATATGGCAGTGACATCCGCACCACAATCGATCTTGAACTTCATCAAGGTGTCATTCACTTGAATGTTTGTCACCCATGGGCCTTCATCAATATTTCTTGATGTATCACTCAGCTGTCCAATGAAAAATTCGTCTTCATCAGAGTCGAAGTCTAGCACACATTCATCTACTTTTCTGCCACTAAGACAAACAGAACTATAATGTCCCTTTTTGTTACATTTGTGACAAATAGACTCGCGTGCAGGACAATCTTGCCATTTGTGTGCAGGTTTCGCTCCGCATCGTTGACAATATGGTCTTCTTGACTTTGCTGAACTGTGTTTTCCATTCTTGGAAGCATTACTGGCCTTTGAAGAATTATTCTTTGATGATTGTCTGTGTGGTTTTGTCGGTCTTCTAGACTTGACTGCATCCATTGCTGCCGCACTTGTGTCAGTCTTACGAAGCTGAGATTGTTGAATCTTAATCATTTCTCATTGTCTTGCCATCTGTACAGCTTTGACTAGTGTCAGTTCATTATCTGCTTGCATTTTGGTACTTAATGCACTGTCTCTAATTCCTACGACAATTTTGTCCCTTATTAGATCATCGTGTAGTGTACCGTAGTCACAATGACGAGCTAAAACGTACAATGCATTGATGAACGAGTCCACAGTCTCACCATCTTCTTGTATACGTCTGTTAAATACAGCTCTCTCATATATCACATTATGAGAAATTACAAAGTGTCTCTGAAACTTATCAATCACTGTTTGATATGACTTCATTTCTTCATCTGTCAAATTCAGAGATGACAGGATATCCTCTGCTTCATCTCCCATATGGTAAATGAGTGAATTGATTTGAACTTCATCTGCTTCTTTAGTCAAAAGAGATGACTGTCTGAATCGTTCAAAACGACGTGACCATTTTGGCCAAGATTCTGGTTTTGTGAAGTCAAACTGTTCAGGTGGGTTCACCCTGTATGCTGACTGTGGTAAAAACTGAGGTAACTGTGGTTGCTCTTCGTTATTTGCCATTTTATCACACCAGATGAGATTTCCAACACTTCACAAAAAGCACATGGACTTCAATTAGACCTTCAGTTTTCGCTCACTAACAAGTTCATCAAGTAAAATCTTCTTTTTGACTATTGTAGTTGCTAACCTTGTTAATAATATCCTCATCCCACTTCTGACACCATGTTATGTCTTCTCAATATACCACAGTATATATAGTTTGAAGATAGTAGGTTTATTGTGCTGAGTGTTGAGTATACAGCCTCCACATGGTCAATGATCTAAGGGGAGCTCACTCTCACCTCTCTTCAGTCATGCATAACAGAGCTAGTAATGTTTAGGCGGTAGAGCACCTAATCATAGTCATATATAATATAGATAACCCTACAGTAACTAACACGTATTTCATTAATTTTGAATTACCTCTTTGGATCTGTTGATAATTTTGTCATCGATGTCAGTGATTCCAAGGACGACCATCAGATTGATGTCAAAGAAGTTTTCCATGATCCTTCGAATGATGTCGAATCTCATGTACGTGCTGGCATGTCCAATGTGTGCTGAGTCGTACACTGTCGGGCCACACATGTACCTGTAACAAATAGTTCCAGCTACACAATCCCCTTCTACACAGGACTAGCATAACCACATCGGGTGGAGTCAGCGAGTTTAGTCACAGCAAAACAATTTCTACCTTCTATTTCAAGATTAACCTCAAATCACCTCTGACAACTCTTATATCTAATTTTGCCTCCTGTATATTGGCTGGTTAAAAATCAAGTCTGTAAACCAAGAGAGAGTGAGTGTGTGTTTAATGACACAGTATTTCAGTTCTTTCAAAACATATCAGCTTGACGTGGAGCAAATTCCAAAGTTGTCTCAAATCTAGGATTCGAAAACAGGATCATAAGTTTTCGGCACGCCATCTTCCCGAGGCAAGGGAGTTAACTGACTTTAACAGTCCAGTTTCCACACTTGCTGACCTAGACTGGAATTACCAGGCTCAATCGTAACGATTTTCTGGACATCCGCGGCTATTACGAGTTATGAGCCTTCTATATCCCTCCTATTGACCAATCAGATTCCATCTCTCATATCCCTTGCATTTGCTTCAAATAAAATGGAATCGACCAGTGAAGCAGATCTAATCAATAATCGATATTATTATGAAATGGGTCTTACTTCCCATCAAATCACATGAGTACCTTGATTTAAAACATGAAAAGATCTTTAAAATATCTATTAACGCTAAGTTGTCGGTATACATGTTTTGCAAATCCTGCAATTGACCAAACTCTGCACAGCAGTTTACGAACCAGATATCCATTTCGTGACACGATTTTGATTGGATTCGGCTTAGACTCGTTAGTCCAGCCAAACTACAACTCCATAATTCCAGCCTTGTTCGGCAAGGATGGAAACTTGACTTTAATATCAGTTAACTCCTTTACCACGGGAAGATGCTGGCACGCCTACGGAATAAAACTCTGCACTACAAGTTTCAGTGCCCCAGACGACTAAGCCACCTATGCCCAGTGTAAAGCATCTTCCCGAGGCAAGAGAGTTAACTGACTATAAACGTCCAGTTTCCACCCTTGCCGAACGAGGCTGGTATTATGGAGTTACATTTGGGCTGGACTAACGAGTCTATGCATTGTCAAATCAAAATCGTGCAACAAAATCGAAATCCGGTACGTAAACTGTCGTACAGATTTCGGTCAACTGCAGGATTTGCAAAGTATGTGCACCGCCAACTCGTTGTCAACAGATATTTTCCAAATTTTTTCATGTTTTTAATCAAGGTGATCACGTGATTTGATGCATTTTGCGACGTAAGACCTGTTTTATCACAATAAAGATCTTGAGTATCAATCAGATCGTCCTGTCTAGGCGCCGCCATTTTGTTTGAAGCAAATGCAAGTGATATGAGAGGTGGAATCTGATTGGTCAATAGGAGGGACATAGAAGGGACATAACTGATAATAGCCACTGGTGGCGCTATGATTGAGCCCAGTAAATCCAGCCTAGTTCGGCAAGGGTGGAAACTGGACTTTTAAAGTCAGTTAACTCTCTTGCCTCGGGAAGATGAGTGTAAAGCAACAACTATTGTTCTGGGTTTATACCATCATATCCTGCCAGCCAGTTATAACCGAGTATGTACCAGGTGAACCACTGGTTGATGCAACTGGTTGGTTGTACCAACAATCCCAGTCACCTGACTATAACGACAAACAATCTGATCACACATTGATATCCCACAGCTAGGTCATAAATAATGATATAACATCCAACACAAAGTCATCCCAAATTTCCTTGAAGACCTGTGTTTGTCTTAAATGATGGATAACATCATTAACATCTTAACAGCTTACAGACAAGAATTAGCGTTATTCCTATATTTCTTCATCTTAAGCTGTCTGATTACTGTGTGACTAATGAGACAGGATGCTGATACATCATACCAGTTAATCAGTGACCTCACCATCGTTACAGATTGACAACTACATACACAGATCAGCTGGGATTTGATAGGTGTTGATTGCTGACTGCCCAACTAGTTAAGGAAAATTATATCATTTCGTAATTTTCATTCCATTTAAAGATGTCTACCTTAAACACAAAATTTCATGAATAAAATTCTTGTTTTGATTAACAATATCTCTGGATTTACAGGGTCTCACTGTATATATGCTTGTTTGTTTATTTGTTGTTTAATGCCACACTCAGCAATATTTCAGCTATATGGCGGTGGTTTGTAAATAATCGACAATCTAGTGATTGACATCATGAGCATTGATCCACACAATTGGGATATGATGACATGCATCAGACAAGTCAGCGAGCCTGACCACCGGATCACGTTAGTCGCCACTTACGACAAGCATAGTTGCCTTTTACAGCAAGCATGGGATGCTGAAGGCCTATTCTACCCCGAATCTTCACAGGGCGCATGTGATCGTGACATTAATCACTTGTTTGTCTGGTCCAGATTCATCCTTGTACTGGAAATTGCTACTATGGCTGGAATATTACTTAGTGTGCTGTTAAACACAAAACATCTTTCAGGACAAACACAGTACACACAACTTGAGGACTGCTCTACCCTGGTTATACAAAGAAACAGGTCGAAATTTTTATCCAAGAAGCAAACATTTATAAAGTAAAAAACTCATAACACCAAGAACAAGCTCTGTACATTAGACTCAGTTATCTCGATTGGCTGAATTCTTGAACCTATTCCTTGTATCAACTTTATTTGTTATCCTTTAATTCATAAAAAAAACACTCCTTATCTTGGTTTTGAGATAAACATGCACACTCTGCTGTCATTAAGTGGGGCCAAGACAAAAAGTAAATTTACTTTACCAGCTCAAGTGATTCATACCTTTTGATCACACAAAACTTAAAAGATCACTTTGATACACAGTCTTGCCTCCAATGTGGTAAAATGAAACAGGTGAGTTCAGGTTTAATAATTCCACATTATCAACACTTTATTCAGTGATATTTAGATATTGTACACAGCAAATAGATAACTGTGTTTGATAGGGATTGTCAAGTAACCATGGTTACTCAGGGTACAAATAGTGATCCAGTGATACATTAAGGGCTTGGACAAAATCCAGAAAAATTAAAACTACTTAATAAGAATCAACTGTATGCCAGTATCTCAAACCGGGGCGGTCGGGTAGCCTAGTGGTTAAAGCGTTCTCTTGTCACGCCGAAGCCCCGGGTTCGATTCCCGACATGGGTACAATGTGTGAAGCCCATTTCTGGTGCCCCCCGCCGTGATATTGCTGGAATATTGCTAAAACCATACTCAATCACTCAGTATCTCAAACCTATCAGTTTTAATATTGTATAAGCAACTTTGTACTGTATGGTTTCATCTAGTCCTGCCCCATGACTGTGGAATATATTTATTTTGTGAAAGACATGTATACAAAAGCAAGTCCAGCCAGCTCTAGCTAGCAATCAGCATCGGGAAAATTATTTGTTTAATTTTAGAGTCGAGAGTGAGTGAGTATGGTTTTATGCCGCTTTTAGCAATTTTCAAGCAATATTACGGGGGGGGACACCAAAAATGGACTTCACACATTGTACACTGCACATGCATGAACTGTGCATCATTTGAAAGAAACTCATTGTTCGTTCAAAACCCAGTCGTCAATACTCTGATACTTCATTGTGGTAAGAAATTGATTTGAGCTGAAGTGCTTCATGTGTATTCATTGTAACTGGTATAAGAGGGAAAACATATTGGCCGAGTCGTAGCAATTTGATTCTAATCATTCAAAGTCCTCCATTTACGTGATGTAACTCAGTGTAACAGTAAATAATTACCGTACACAGAGACAGAGCTCAGTTTTAATCAGGGCACTAGGTACTATGTCTAGGCCAAAATAAAATGAAAAAAAAGGAACTTGGAAGTTGAAACCGTCTCCCTCTAATAAGGGACTGAAATCACTTATATCTACCAGAGACCGTATATGGTCTCTGTATCTACATATGAATATTCAGCACACAATATCTTTTGCCTCTAATTACCATGTTTATGGAATATGTACAGTTAAGTTGGCATTAATGAAATACATTGTGTAATCACAAACCAAATATTGATGCTCAACTTGAACAGAACTAAACGTCCTACATAATCTTATTACCATGTTCCAATTCGGTCATTCCTCAGAATTAATGGCTCCTTTGTCTTTGTTAAAGAGTTCCACACTTTAATTCCAGTGTCATGACCCTGGGGCTGCTCCCAGTTTGTATAACGCTGGGACGTTGAAAAGCTGCTGCTTAAGGCTGTACCATTTGTGAGAGTCCATACTCTAACTTGGCTATTTCCGTTTGGAAATCGTACATGACTCGAATTGAAGTTCTGAAGCCATCCTCGTGAAAACCTGGTAAACATTTTAGTTGACATTTCGATGCAAATGTCATAACAGCATTCCTAACTTGGGATTTACAGCATGTTCCATTTGACAAGACGAACTCTCGGGACACCTGAAGGTTTCCTGTAAGTCGTTTGAATATTCATGATCACTTGTGACCTATAATGTGTCTGTACTGCGTGAGGGGGTTTCCCAATGAACAATGAGGTTTATTTTTAGATTTCATCTAACCATTTGGTTGATTTGAAGTAATGTCCGATCGTTGTCAATTGTGCTTTTTCAACAAGGTGTAACAACAACAAGCCAATGCCAGTCAGGCTATTTGCGTAAACACGTGTTTCAGTTTGTCATCACATGCTATGTCACTGTCAAGGTCGAACGAATTCCCGGAAGCAAGTGCCCGATTTCATATAAAATGAAAACACTTATTCTGAAACGGAAAGAGATTAACAAATGCAGTAAACGGTCACCTTTATGTACCGGTCTGGTTAACGTGCCATCACATATCCTTAGTTGTATACAAGCATCTCAATAAAAAACATTTCTTAAGCAGATTTGTACATATTTTCAAGGTGATGAGATCTTTCTTTTCGTTCATGTTAATTTCGCTCCCATCATTTACACTCAACCGGTTTCATTCACCAGCGGGAGGGAAACTCGATGCGTAGGCCCAGTCAAATTTTCATGTCACACCGTTATGATTTGATTCAACATACTGAAGTTATCAGACATTAACTTTTATTTCAGTTTTGCGGTGTAATCAAGTGACATCTATCCCGGTATGAACATGCTCAACCAAGCGGCCGTAGAGGCTTTATGCTCTGGAACGTATCTCGAAAATTATTTGGAAACGATGGAGAATCTTCCCAACGATTTACAACGAAGTGTTTCCCAACTTCGAGAGTTAGATATTCAGTGTAGAGGTAAGAATTAATTCATTTCGAATTCCTTAGTTTACACGGAAACCGGTTGTATATAAGTCTGATGTGTAGGGTCTCATGGATGGTGTTAGTTTGAAAACCAAACGTGACAAATGTTGAACCGTTTGTTTGTGTCACCCGAATTTGTACCCCGTGATAAAAGATCCGGTGTAATGTTTGGCAGTGTGCCCCTATCATGTATATATATTTTTGTTGATATTATTTGTCGTCTTTCATTTACGATGTATTGTTAAACTGACCTTGGTAGGAAGATGTGTTGTAAAGTCTTAATTTGATTATGATATTTGCAAATGCAAATGACAATATATATTTAGACAGTGACTTTTTCATGCAAAAATAACATGGTGCCAACTGTCCTACATTCACGGTGATGACACATATTCCATGTACACCAAGTTATGACTAATTATAAGTGATTAAATCACATGATAAATAAATACCATGTAATTTGACTGATTAAGTTCTCATAAACCAGAGATCATGTTTCTTGTGAGCTTTATCATGTGTTGATACCAGTGAAGATCCGGGTTAGAATAGGTCTTTAGCAACCCATGCTTGTCATAAGAGGCGAGTATGCTTGTCATAAGTGGGATCGACTGGTCAGGTTTCCTGATTTGGTTGATTCATGTCATCCTTTCCCAATTGATTAGATCAATCCTTATGATATCAATCACTGGATTGTCTGTTCTAGATTCCATTATTTACAGACCGCCGTCATATAGCTGGAATATTGCTGAGTGTTGCGTTAAACAACGAACTAACTTTTGAGCTTTGACACTGTTAGTATTATGTTGTAATTTGTTGAATATTTTTTTATTTAATACTTTGATCCTCATAATCATGATAATGTTCATAAAACATGTTAGCATGTTTAACATGTTTTATAAATTGTAATTTTAGCCCATTAGCCATGTTAGCATGATAATAATTATGCATGGTTTTCTGTCTAATCACTTGGGCAGTTTGCTGTGCAAATGAACGTGGTAAACTAGAACATGTACAACAGTATAGTTTGCATATTTTAAATCACATCCCTACATTCATACATAAAACAGCTTTTTGTGTCATGTTATTTTTTTTGTTCAAAATTGGGATTTTTCAAAGTTCTTATTTTCGTACATTCAGGGGTATTTTAAAATGTCATTTTAACATTGCATTTTATGCAATAATGTAAAACAAAGTATTACAATATATACAATACCTACTGGGGACATACAAGTCACCTCAACCAAGCCATCGACCCGTAAAGATCCAGGGTAGAATAGGTCTTCAGCAACCCATGCTTGCCGTAAAAGGCGACTATGCTTGTCGTAAGTAGCGACTGACGGGATCGGTTGGTCAGACTCACTGACTTGGTTGATGCATGTCATCGATCCCAATTGTGTGTATCGATGCTCATGATATCAATCACTGGGTTGTCTGGTCCAGACTTGATTATTTACACACCACTGTCATATAGCTGGACTATTGCTGAGTGCGGCGTTAAACAACAAACAAACAAGCCATCAGTTTAGTTATAACTGTATTAACATGATTTAGGAAATATTGAATTCCAATTTGGAATTTATTACTGACATTTGCTGCAGATTTGGGATAGAATGATTATGTTATCCCCTAAACAGGTCTAGAAAAGTTCCTGAAGACTGACCATGTGGCTTTGGTTCTTGTAGGTTGAATATTAAACAAAGAGAATTAAAAACTGGTGTCTAGTCTCGTAGAAGCTAATAAGTAATATTCTTGTGATATTTAACTATTTCCCTCATCAATTCATGGCCTGATTTCCTGTATCTGATGACTCGCGTATATTGCAGACATTATGCAAGACATGGACTATCAGCAAGAAGTGTATAAGCAACAAGGCCCAATGAAGAAGAAAGCATTTTTTGCCATCCAGCGAGCTCTGATTCGATGCCAGGAGATCGGAGACGAGAAACTTGTCTTGCTGTCTGTTATTATTGACTTCATTGAGAATCGAGCTCGACAGCTGGAACAAGACAGAGAGAATCTGGGTGAGCTGTACTCCATTAATTCTTCTGTATACAGACCAAATTTCTATTTCTGGACTGAAAATTACCAGGGTTTATTTTGTCAGTCAGTAGTCAGAAAAATTTGGGGCCTTTAGTAAGTATTTTTTTCGGCTTGGTGAAAAATAAAACACTATCAAGTTGGATTGAAAATGCGAAATAGTCTCTATGCGAATGTGGATCATGATTCTGTCGGCAGCAAAACGTGGACAACTGGTTCTGTTCTCCCTTCTTTAATGCAATTCATTGTCAACTGGTTTTCTGGTGTTGTTAGATCTAGCTATATACAAATGTTTTTAGCATCAATACGATGATTTTTTTCCGTATTTTTTTACAATAAACATTTGTCTCATCTTACATTTACATTTCACTCTAAGCAGTGTACACCATCAGAACCCTCAATTATTAATCTCCTGTATACAGACCAAATTTCTATTTCTAAACTGAAAATGACCAGGGTTTTGCAAAGAGGTAAACTTTTAAAACTGACGTACCTGAATAGACTGAAAATTTGAAACATATTTTTAGGGGTCCTTACAAATGTGCTGACTTTGTTTCAGTATCAGCATAAGTTCAGTAGTGTTGCTTATCAATGACATGTTCAAAAGACAGTCTCTGTGGTGTATTGGATGGAGCATTTGCCTAGTCAGCAGAATGTCGGTTTCTATCCACATCCACATCATAACAGAGGACGTTTCTAGGTGGTACTTGTTGTTACCCTCCCTGGCACTCTGCATTATGGGTAGGCTGTGTGTCACAGTAGGGTATCCATGTTAAACTCAGTGGGCTAGCACTATAAAACCAGTATTGGTCCAGACTAGCATGGGCAGCCACACACACATGCATGTCCCTACATAAGTGCAAGAATCTTTACTTTAATGCGATGTTAAACCCTACTAGTGGGACGATACCCAGATGCATGGGCGGATCATAATTTTTTACCACTTGATACAAGTATCGATCACAATCGGACAGTAAGTAAAACAATATCGATTCTGACCTTAAATGTTTGTTTTAGTAACTGTTACCATGGTTACACCAAACACTAATTAGTAGTGAAAACGTAAGTATTTTCATCCACTGCGCCATATTTGACACTGCCAACTGTAAATCGAGAGAGTGCCAGGTGCTATAGAACCCCATTTCACCTCACCTAGTAAACCAAACAATTTTGCTTGCTGCAGATCCTGGCTCCACAAAGGAGCCGGAGCCGGTAAAGGATCCACCCAAGAAGGAGGCAAAAGCAGTGGACTCAGAGCGGTCTGAAAAACCGGTTGCTAAGAGACAACGACGACAGAAAAATCATGATGTCAGTCAAGAAGATGTTAAGGTACAACCTGTCTCTCTGATTGTGTGGCACTGTGCAGTTAGCCTCTTGTCAACTTGGATAGGTTTAAAGTTAAAGTCAAATTTAGGAAATTTAACACCAAAACATTTATTCAGTCTTGAAATGTTTTTTACCAAAACCCACAGTGAGCAGCTCAGTGGGGACCTGGGTTAGAAAGTGTTCCCGTTTACTGGTAATTACCATATTTTTACCGGAAAAATTAGGCTAATTCATGTGACTGCCAGTCCCTATAGCATGTATAGACTGGCCAATAACGTATCAATATAAATCTGTTGTTGAACAAAACATGGGCGATATTCAAATAAGTATGTTTTTCGAACAAAATCAGCTTGTCTGTTACCTTCAGGGTTTCCCCTTGTCTATTTTTAGTACAAGGAAATAACATTTCTCTTTGCTTCGAGGTTAAATATATATTTGTAGCGACTTAGTCTTGAAATATCAAACAAAAGAAAAGGAAATTGTGACTGAACTTTGTGTGAATGATGTGTAGATCTAACTAAGTTACTTCAGAGATCAAGTCATTGCATTGAACATGATGTTGAAAGAATTAAAACCACATCATTTTCATGTGTTTTTTTATTTGCTGAAAGTTGGGACTGACAAAAATTAGGGGAGACTGGTAATTTTTAGAGTTACCAGTCCACCAGGACTGGCAGTTGTAAAAGCCAGCTGAAACACTGAGTTTCCAGGAATATATGACAGCGGTCTGTTAATAATCGAGTCTGGACCAGACAATCCAGTGATCATCCGGTGATCATGAGCATCAACCAAGTCAGCGAGCCTGAACACCCGATCCCGTTAGTCGCCTTTTACAGCAAGCATGGGTTGCTGAAGACCTATTCTACTCCAGATCTACAAGGGGCTAACAGTTTGTAATCAGGGCATGTAGACTTCTACTAATCAAGATGTCACCATGATTTACTCAATGATGAGTTTGTCCTTTGTCATTTTATAAGTGAATGCAACAAAAATTCCAGCACTTGAGGCTCCTCCTGTAGTATTTTAATTTAGTACCCCTTAAATCCATTGTTCCCAATGTCAATCTTGCTATTTTCAGGAGGAGAAAGAAAAGGTTCCGAAAAAGAAAAAGAAGAGAAAAGTGAAGAAAGAACGAGAAGACTCCCCCGTCGACCCCCCCATTGACCCCGACGAGCCCACATACTGTTTATGCAACCAAGTCTCATATGGCGAGATGATAGGATGTGACAATGACAAGTGTGTGATCGAGTGGTTTCATTTTAACTGTGTCGGACTTACCACAAAGCCAAAGGGAAAATGGTATTGCCCTAAATGTCGGGGAGACAAACCTACAGTAAAACGGCCTGACAAGTAGAAGACCTGAACTCATCTCGGTGCTACACAAAGACGAGTCTTGTTCAAGGGCCTGTTGTCATGTCATTTCCGCAAAGAAATTTGTACCTGTATCGTACATGTTTGTTATGAGTGTGTGCTGTTGATGACTGACCATGTTTACAAGGAATAAATGGGATTCTCGGTATCAAATCGATAACGTTCATCAGACATCTGCGTAGTGCTGTCTGGTCTTGTGAAGAAGTTTTTCTCAATATCTTAAAATTATACACATGGGCTAATGAAAATGAATTATTCCTTCCCCTCTTTCAACCGTTATTCATCTTCCCGAGGCAAGTTAACTGACTTTAAAAGTCCAGTTTCCACCCTTGCCGAACTAGGCTGGAATTACTTGGCTCGATCATAGCGCCAGTTATGTCCCTTCGAAGCCTCTCCTATGGACCAATCAGATTCCACCTCTCGTATCACTTGCGTTTGCTTCACACAAAATGGTGGCGCCCGGTCAGGATGATCTGATCGATAATCAAGATCTATTTTGTGATAAAACGGGTCTTACATTGAGAAATGCATCAAATCATGTGAGTACTTTCGTTAAAAACATGAAAAGATTTGGAAAATGTCTGCTGACGAGTAGGAGGTGCACATGTTTTGCAAATCCTGCCATCCTGCGAAATCTGCATGGCAATTTACGAAACGGATTTCGATTTTGGTGCACAATTTTGATTGGACTATGCATAGACTCGTTAGTCCAGCCAAAATGTAACTCCATAATACCAGCCTAGTTCAGCAAGGGTAGAAACTGGACTTTTATAGTCAGTTAACTCTCTTGCCTTGGGAGGATGACTCTTATTTAGTAGAGTGTTCCGAATTTAAAGATCAAGTTTAGAGTGAAAATGCAATTAGATATATAAATTTGGTCAAAGTGTTCAACACAATCATCATCATAATGCAATAATTCAAGTTTTTTCATACATCATCATATATGGAGTAAGATTCCTAAATTGTTAAAATCGTGTTAAAGACATGGTCTGGAACAAAATGTAAAATATCTGGAAAATGAAGAAGCAACTAGGAGTCGATTATTTACTTTGACTCAAGTTGGAACTTGGAACCAATGATGGATGATGAAAGTTCACCTGATTCTCACACTGAAGTATAAACAATAAGCATGATAAGGGCTCGGCACCACCCTGTCAGCTAGTGCTGAATAGTGGACCTTGTTAGTAAAGCTGGAGTTACCATGGTTACTAGAAATATCTTATGGTACCTGGAGTCACAGATAAAGTGATCCAAGAATTAGACATAAATTGTTTGTTTGCTGTTCCCACATTTGATCAGTCTATGTGACCATGACAAGTTTGTGATGAAAAGATATGTCTTATAAGTTGAGTTCTTCATGAAAGGATACTTTTGGTTCAGTCTGTTGAATTGTCTCCTAATGAGAGTCAGCTATTATTATTAACAATGTAAAGAAAGGTGTAGAAAAATCACATCAAATCAAATTAATCCAGCCTATTTGTGGGGATCATCTGTGTCAAACCTGGTTTTGTCTCAAGTACTGTCACCATGAGATATAGATCAGCCTGCAGCCTTTGAAAATCAAGCTATTCCACTAGCTCGAGACAACTAAATTGTGCTTAGAACAACTGAAATCCATTAATAGTACATGTAGTCCACAATGACTCGTAACATTTAAGGGCTGTACTTGTTGTCCATGCTGTAATTCCACAGCCTAGCAGACCTGTGAAGATCCGGGGTAGAACAGTCGTAAAAGGCGACTATGCTTGTCATAAGAGGCGACTAACGGGATCGGTGGTCAGGCTTGGTGACGTGTCTGATGCATATCATCGTCTTGATGCAAATCATATTTTGTGAGTCATTTACCATGAGCAACTCAAAGTGAGATGAAATGGTGAAATGCCATCATAAGTTCAAATGTTTGTCAAAATTGTCCTTGCACAAATAAACTAAACAATTGATATGGTCTGGCATAATGAGAATGGGAGAATTGGCGCAATGCATGCATCACCATGATGATATTCTGTGCTTATTTCACAGATATATTAAGTATCAATCTTCTCCATGGACAACTTTGTGATATGGCGCCACGAATGGCTGCACAATTGGTGGAGCGGCGTTACACAACAGTCACTCCATGGTGAGGAGGGTATGATTTAGTAACCATGGTAACAGTAAGCTGACCAATGTTGCGTGTTGATAGCATGGGGTGTGAGGATACCACATTACACGAAGTATTTGTTGTCTTGTTGATGAAGGAAGTTTTAACGTGTATTCTGGTTTCTCCACATGCCGAGCATCGTCATAAACATGGGATAATGTGTCCCAATATGGCTGCATGACTTTCTTCAGAGTTCTGCCTTGTAGGAAGCATGTATCACCAGCTGGTGGCAAGGAAGTCACATATATGCATTATTATGATTACTAAGCCTGATAAACAGGACTTTTCAGGGATGGAAATTAGCACTAGCCTGCTAGCCCGGACCAGTCTTGTTGTGTTAAAGATATCCTAAGGGCTAGTAGAATTTCAAAACTTTTTACACGTTATCAATATTTGGGCTCGTAGTCTTTCTTGGTTAATTTCCATCCCTGCATTTGTCATGTGTAGAGGAATATGTGACCTCAATGTAGGTTCATGGTGATTTTGTTGAACGCAGTATTCATGAAACATGTTAAGTTTTATGAAACTTTGTATTTCAAATGAAATTTTGTATCTTTGCTACATTTTATATTTTCTTATGTCGAGGAAGTTTTGACTTCTGTCAAGAATGAAGGAGTGCTTGTATGAAATCATATTGGTGATTGTGATCAAGAATATTGTTTTTTCCAGGGAGAAATATTTTATTATCATGATTACCAGTATATAAAACCAGGTTGATGTTGATATCTGAATTAAAATGAAAGTGGGAATCTCAGAGAATCTTACTGTAGATGTTCTACTTGTAATTAGGGGCGGTCGGGTAGCCTAGTGGTTAAAGCGTTCGCTCGTCACGCTGAAGACCCGGGTTCGATTCCCAACATGGGTACAATGTGTGAAGCCCATTTCTGGTGTCCCCCGCCGTGATATTGCCGGAATATTGCTAAAAGCGGCGTAAAATCAAACTCACTCACTCACTCACTCACTCACTCACTCACTCACTACTTGTAATTACTCAGAACACAGCTCCCTCTACAGTATAAGCTGCCAGTGAGTGTTAGGGTCTGATGGATGTGCACAAACCATGGGTCTTGTATTCTTCAGGGTCGAGGTCACTTTTCAGTATTTGTTCATCAGAATAGAAAATCAATCAGAACATGATAGCTGCTACTAGCTACCGAATTACCTCCTAGGCGGCTTCCCACAAACTTTTGCCGATTGTTGATGAACTGAAACAGTCTCTCTTCATGCCTGATATTTTCAAAAGAGCAAATGAAATCTTTCACTTTACTCATGACAGTGTACGTCTGCTATACAAAATGTGTACATTGGATGCCATTCTGATCTGGAATAACATGTACCACAGTCGACGTAATAAGCGCCCCGCTCTAATAAGCGCCTACTGCAATATTTGCTAATATATGGGCTAGTCAACAATCGCAATTACCAGCCCTTCCGATTGATTAATTATGGGCAATTAAATTCTGGGAAAAAATATCTGTCATAATATAAACATTTCAGGGTGTCAGCATAAACCACGAAATCTTTCAACTCATCTTTCAATATTCTAATTAGAGCCCCCTATTTCTAATTTTGAGAGCACCCTGGACGCTTATTACGTCAAATACAGTATTTGACATCTTGAAAGTTTGCAACGCCATTGGCCATGAGGAGCTGACTCTACAAATGGCTTCCAAAATTTGTGTAACCTAATTGATCTCTTGATAAAATTCCCAGCAAGGCTCTAGTTTTTCCCTCCTTTGACTGTAAGACAACACTATTGAGACTAATAGGTGTAGCTTGATGTCTTGAGAGCTTAGGGAGAGCAATGTAGGGCCATGCCAATGAACTGGATTTGATTTCCTGTGGGTGCCATGTGTGAAACCCATGCTTGGTGTCTTCTGGCATATTTCTGGAGACATGTTGAAAGCCGCATTACTCCATTCCCTTTGGGGAGATGTTCTTTACAACAAATAATTAATGTGATGGCTGAAACGTATTTTCTAAGGCTAAAATGTTCTTGGTTCCCTTCAAAGTAAATTGACCTTGACCAACACCAGTAGATTTTAATTGCCCAGCCCTGTAAGTGATAAGTAGGGTTTTGTTCTTTGCTGAAATTGTGGAAAGTCAACATGATTTTGTTTTTCATACGTTTATACCACATCACAAACGTCTTTGCCCGAAATGATTTGAGATATGGCCAACTGACGATGTGTCGTCTTTGTGTGTTGGGCAGGCATTATCCATTGTACATTGTGTACATTGCAATCATATTCACTCATCTCTACATGTTAGTGTCTCGTCTATTTATTAGTCTCTTCTCTCCATCTCACGGAGCGCACAGTCCAGAGCGGAGGGCACAGAATCAACATTCATTAGTGGAGGTCTGGGGGACGTGGTTCAGCCACTGTCTCCACAGACGGACAAATAAATCATTTTAAATATGACTGCTTTGTTGTGTTGTTGGTTGGGTTTTAGGGGGCCTTGTTGTCTCTTCAATTAACAGATTTACTTCCAATTGTTGTGCAAGAAGAAAATGGTTGTGGGTTCGAAATTCCAGAATTGCCTTGGTTACGGTTCTTGGTTTGTCAGCACCTGACCTGTGCTCGTGGAAGTGGCAGACGTCAAGGAAGTGCTTCATTCTGGGCTTTCCTCCCACTTAAAGCTGCCTAGTCATGATATGACTGAAATACTGTACAGAGCGAATGTATATTCAACTCACTTTCTCCAGGCATTTGTGACCAACTCGTGTTATTATGGGACAAACCGAATAGCGACTCCTGTCCCTCTCATGGCCATTTTTGCGACCGGGTTCCATCTTAGCACAAACAAGCATACCTAAAACAATTGTTAATTCATTGCGTAATGGTTCACATATATTTCCCCATATATTAAATATATTTCAGATACAATTTAAAGCATATAGGAAGTGTGGAATTATACAGTATGATTGAACACATTTAACTGTGTTTTGGTATATTTTTAGATGCAAGACATATGTAAAATCAAAAATTATTTCTGAGGGATTCTTTGACGAAGAACTTGAAA